ACACGCCAGCCGCAGCTCACGCCCGCACGCACGCAGCTCCAGCCCCGCCCACACGCCAGCCGGCCGCAGCTCCTGCCCCGCCCACACGCCCGCAGCTCACGCACGCACAATGGAAGCGACATCCGCCGAGACCGGCAACAGCACGCCGCCTTCCGGGACCTCGTCCACTCCTCCCCCAGCCAGGTAAAACATCCCCCCGAAAATAAGACCTAGTGTCTTATTTCGTGCAAAAAAAAAAATAAGACAGTGTCTTATTTTCGGGGAAACACGGTATTACACATAAAAATAAAGAGAATTAAAAAAATTAAAAACAAAAAACAAGGATTTCACAGTTAACAAGCTTTCCTTAAAATCATTAAAACGTCTCACCGTTCGGTATAAGAATTCCGCCCATCATGGTTCCGAACACCACCACTAATGTCAAAACTTTGAACCGTAAGGGTGGCATGTACCCGCCGGCTGCGAACGTGCCATCTTTTTGCTGTACAAAAGAGGAAAACAGTAAGGGACAATGCAAGCTGGCCTAAAGTATTGTATTATACTGTATATTGTTTACATGGAATTCCACTGGAAGCATACACTACGCCAGGGGTGCCCACAATTTTTTGTCTGGCGATCTATTTTTCAAATGACGAGCTCAACGAGATCTACCAATGAAAAAACACCTGCGTTCAGGGGCATGGCGGTGCATTGAAGTCAATGGCACGGCAGCCACGCCCCCCCACCCGCAGAGCGATCGCACGCACCCGGAACACAGGCCGGTCTAGTGCGATCTGCAAAGATGCTGCAAGCCGGCTTGCGTTTCTGTGCGTTCTAGAGGCCGAACACTCTGGAACGCAGACTTTGTGGTGCAAACAGCCCTGGAACAGCTGATCGGTCCTGAAATGTGACTTTGTGAGTGCGATCTGACATTCCACAAAGTCAGATAGAAGTGACATTTCAGGACCGATCAGTTGTTCCGGGGCAGATCGGTTCTCCTGCACATACAATCTGCGATGCCGGAACAGCAGAGAAAGTGTTGGAATTCCCCCATTTTTGCCGGTCACATATTCCACCGCAGAGAAAGTGGGTGTGATTACGTTAAAATGTGTAACCACGTGACCGGTCACACATTCCAACCCAGTCACAACCTTTGATAGAAAACATCCAACAGGAGACGTGGTCCATCTAGCTAGGGGTAGGCTAGGAGGAGTGGCTGTATGCACAATCATAGGCATGGCAGACTTCATAAATGTATTGCGTTCGTATTACGTTCGGCTGGATCTCCCCTGCCCCCAATGGATCAGTGTCACACCCACCTGCTGCTCGAAAAGGAGCGTGCTCAGCGCCTGCCGGCAGGGAAGGATCATCATCGGGAACCCGACAGCCACTGACATCATGAAGCCCACTCGGATCATCTCAGTCACCACATTGGACGGGAAGTTGACCAGCACATTGCCAGCTATTGTTTCAGGGAAACTGACATAACCGAAGAAACCGACCTGCAAACAAGCAAAAGGATTACTGTGAGAGACTCCCATTCGAAGCCCGACTCCAATGCAAGTTTAAAAAGCAGCGGTAGACTGCCGTAGGGCCCCCTTAAGCCCGTGACGCACTGCACACGAAGCCATGCCGAGCGAAGCAAAGCTGTCAGGCACGGAGCTTCGCGTGCAGTGTGTAGGCTGAGTCCAGGCAGATGAATGACAGCACCTTCAGCCAATCGACTTGCGCGTAACAAACGGCTGGACTTCGAGTTTATACGGCTGAAGATTACATTTTTCATCTCGGCATGCTCAGCTATGTGAGCTCTCGCAAGCCGACGTGCCGGAGAGAAAATGACGTGACACACTGCACGCGAAAGCAGCGCGCCACCGCTCAGCCCTGCTTCCCATGCAGTGTGTCACAGCCTTTAGATTTACACTGCGTTCCGTCCAGTTGGAGGGAACAGGTGACATCGAAAGCAGCGCGCCACCGCTCCGCCCTGCTTCCCATGCAGTGTGTCACAGCCCTTAGATTTACACTGCGTTCCGTCCAGTCGGAGGGTACCGGTGACATAGAAAGCAGCGCACCACCGCTCCGCCCTGCTTCCCATGCAGTGTGTCACAGCCCTTAGATTTACACTGCGTTCCGTCCAGTCGGAGGGTACCGGTGACATAGAAAGCAGCGCGCCACCGCTCCGCCCTGCTTCCCATGCAGTGTGTCACAGCCTTTAGATTTACACTGCGTTCCGTCCAGTCGGAGGGTACCGGTGACATAGAAAGCAGCGCACCACCGCTCCGCCCTGCTTCCCGTGCAGTGTGTCACAGCCTTAAGCCCTCGCTCACACCTGAACGTTTTGTAGCGTGTTCTACGCTCGGCGAACGCTCTACAAAACGCTCAAAAATATAAATCCCATTGTATTCAATGGTCTCGTTCCCACCTTGGCGTATTTCCGCCCGGCCCTAACGCGCTACAAAACGGCCCACGCCTGAAAAGGTACAGGTACTACTTTGGGCCGTTTTGTTGCGCGTTTCCATTGGGATACAGCCAAGTAGCCTTCGGAAACGCGCGTTTGTCGCGCGACTTTTTTACCGCGAATCGCGCTAAAATAAACGTGCGACAGACGCACATATGCAATACGCCTAGGTGTGAACGAGACCTTAGAGTTACACTGCGTTCCGTCCAGTTGGAGGGAACCGGTGACATTGAAAGCAGCGCGCCACCGCTCCGCCCTGCTTCCCGTGCAGTGCGTCACAGCACTTAGATTTACACTGCGTTCCGTCCAGTCGGAGAGAACCGGTGACATTGAAAGCAGCGCGCCACCACTCTGCTCTGCTTCCCGTGCAGTGCGTCACAGCCCTTAGATTTACACTGCGTTCCGTCCAGTCGGAGGGAACCGGTGACATCACTGAGTCTTCGTATGATCAGAAAATCTTATTGGGTCTATAGGAAAGAAAAAAATAAAAAGACTTCTCTATACTCATAGAAAGTATAACTTACCAGAACATAGAACGCGGTGACGATATTTAGAGAGGACGCAAAGATGGAACTCATCGTCTTAGCAGAAGGTTCGTCCAGGCTGTCATAGGTGGGAAGAACTTGGCTACGAGAAGAGAGAATGCGGCTTATAATGGGATTTATAGATCAACGCCATCCAAACCTCCTTAAAGTCATATTAAACTCTCAATAATGAATCCATAATAAATAAATACAGGTATTCCTCACTTAACGACCGAGTTCCGTTCCTACGACCAGGTCGTTAAACGGATTGGTCGTTAAGTGAGGAACTCTATACAGTACTGTGCTGCATTAGTACAGTACTGTATAGCGTTGCAGATGTACAGTACCGAACAGTGTACTGTACATCGGGCACTGAAAATACTCACCAGGACCCGCAGTGAAGATCGGAGGACGTCACTTCCCGTCGCACTGGCGCTGACGCGCGAGGTCGGAGGTCGCTCGGAGGACGGTCGTAAGTGCGAGTGGTCGCAAAACAGGTAAGTCGTTAAGCGAGGAGCATCTGTATACAATCACCCAGCAAAGTATTTCTTTACATTTTTGCCCAAGCACTTAGTCACCATGTTTCTGAACAACTCCAACTCTCTCGGCTCGGCTTCCCTGATCTTCCTGTCTAGTACACAAGATCACAAGGGACAGAGCAGTCTTCAGCAGCCGTCCATCTACTAGCTTGGAGGAGGGAGGGAGAAGCAGTGGGGAGAGGAGTGGCTTGCCTTGCTGTGCTCCTGTGTGTGTTTGTGGAGACACACACACACACAGCTTACTAGCAGACACAAGGGTGGCTCCATAGGAACCTGCAAGGGAAAGTAGCCACCCTAAAACAGGATATCAGGGCCAGTGCTCAGGGGACCAGCTGATTCTGCAGGAAGCTAAAACTTTTAAACATCAAGCGGCATCACCATTGCAAGTGATTTCATCAGCATATAAGATGGCTTTGACTTTAATATCACTTTAAGAAAGTTGCAATGAAGAATAAACTGTAGCAGCCATTAGATAGAAGAAAGGTAGAGTCGTGCTTCCTAATTATGTAAAGGAAACAAAAAAATTGGGGTATCCAGTTTCAAGAGCGGGCACATCTCCAGTAAATGATGTTGGCGAGGGACCAAGACGGAGGTGCCAGAGGATATCTAAGAAGGGGGAAAAAAACAAAAACCATGCAGGATGGGTTAGTGGGGAACAGGGAGGGGGCCTAAAATGGAACTATGGGCCAACCTTTGTTGGCCTTAGTTCTCTTCAGGGTCACAGGAGGACATGTACTAATGTCCTCCAGTGACCCAAAACGCAGTATATAGCGGGCTATTTGGCCATAGTTCTCTTCAGCGTCACAGGAGGACATATACTAACGCCCTCCAGTGACCCAAAACGCAGTATATAGCGGGCTATTGCCCGCTAAATGCTAAGGGCGCAGAGCCGCAGCCGGGACGGATCCTGACAATACTGTCGAGATCCACCCCGCTGGCTGATTGACAGCTGGCTCTGCCAATCTAAAAGGCAAAGCCAGCTGTGCCCGCCCCCTCCGTTCCTCCAGTCAGCGCTGGAGAAAGGGAGAGGGGAGGGGGGGAATCCCTGTGGAAAGCGGTGACTAACAGTCGACGGCATGCGTTCGCTTGACTTGCCGATCAATAGAGCCGACCTGTGGCAGCTTCAATGTCGGGGGTCGGCTTGAATTATGGGGACGAGTGTTTTTCTCTCACCCCATAATTCTCCTTTAACATCTGCTCGGAAATGTTCTTGAAATGATTTGTTCTGGGGAACCATGCAGCTCCACCTTTATTAGTCTGGGGACAGTTTACGGCAGAGAAATGGGTGGAGTTGGGAATCTCAAGCTAGCAGAATCACATCTTCGGTATTAGGTGTACCCAGAGCACCAGGTTAGAAGCAACCAAATTCAATTAGACAACAAAGAGACAAGGGGCATTCAAGAACTGCCTGTATGGAAAACCATTTTTCAGGCTTGCCGAGTACAGCTATAAGCACCCTGCCCCCCTTCTCTGCTGCGCTGGAGCATTAGACTCAGCATGTAATGTTAACATTTCATTATCGGAGTGTGAGAAAATGTATGAGCTGCTGCTGGATGTGAGAGGCCAGCACAGGCGCTGACAGATGACTGGAGGGGTAGAGGGACGCCGGGGCTGCATTGTGTTAAGTGCCTTCTGAAAGAGAAAGAGCGGTTGCACAAGACCCGGCTGCAAATTGCATCTCCACGCTGTTTCCATTTTAATGACCGCTGCTAGAGTAACATTTCTGGACACCTAAAAAAAAATATATATATGCATTATTCTGAATGGGGACTCTGCAGAATATACCAGCGCCATGAAAAGAGGGGAATAAGTGACCTTCTGCTGCACAATACGCTGGTACACTGCAATCAAGACTGAAAATTAAAGTGAATGAAGTGTTTAAATTAAAAGTCCAGAAATCCAGAAAGGGAAGGGGGGGGGGGGGGGGGGGGGGGGGGGTCTTATCCCCAAGTTAGGTAGTTAGGTAGAAGTCAAAGCCCAGTGTATACGGTGCATCCTAAATCAGGGGGTCCCCTACCTTGTACTTGGAGGACCTAGTACTTGGAGGACTCGGAAGGTCCCCAAGGATCGGGGTCCACCTAGCTGGGTTGACCTTGCTCATCAGGTTTTGAGGGTGACTGGTCTTGTCTCTGCCCCTCCTGTAATAAAGACCGGCCACTGCTGCTCTCTCCTTGTGCAGGGTGACTGTTCTCCTCTCCGCCCCCTCCTGTAATAAAGACCAGTCACTGCTGCGCTCTCTAATTGTGCAGGGTGACTGGTCTTGTCTCTGCCCCTCCTGTAATAAAGAACGCTCACTGCTGCTCTCTCCTTGTGCAGGGTGACTGGTCTTGTCTCTGCCCCTCCTGTAATAAAGAACGCTCACTGCTGCTCTCTCCTTGTGCAGGGTGACTGGTCTTGTCTCTGCCCCTCCTGTAATAAAGAACGCTCACTGCTGCTCTCTCCTTGTGCAGGGTGACTGGTCTTGTCTCTGCCCCTCCTGTAATAAAGACCAGCCACTGCTGCGCTCTCTAATTGTGCAGGGTGACTGGGCACGTCTCCACCCCCTCCTTGTAGTTTTCTGCAGGCGGACTGTAGTGGGTGGGGCCTGCTATGTACAGCACAGTGATAATGTCACTGCTACATTTACAAGGTAATATCCGCATCTGCAAAGGCATTTGGTGCACACAAAGTGGATTTATATCCTTTGTGGCTATTGAGGGATATTTAAATTATTATTTTTTGTGCCCGGAGGTAAGCTTTAAATATTGTTCACCAATTCACCAACAGTCATCTTTTCTCTGGATGAAATTGGGGTTTACTGGCCTTCTGAAAGTGCTGCGCTGATCTCGATGTTATCACTACGAAGCGAAGGGGCCAGGAGGCGATAGTATGCCGCTTTGTTTACACCTCATTCCACAGGCTGCACTTGGTGAGTAAATGTTGTCAGCGGCATTTCCAGAATGGTGAACACTTAGTGAA